GCCAGCATGGGGCTTTATGGTCAGCCGGATACCCAGATTTGGCTACAGTAGATCCCAAAGTGAAAGCAATGTGGATGTGGGCGAATGTGGAGAATTTAGACAATTTCCTGAAGGAAGTCTACACGTACTATCTCGGGAATGGGATTTGGTCGATTTTACTGAACCGAGCTCTAAGCCTCCTGTACGAGCTCATTGCTTTTCGGCTTATTGCGATGAAATCAAGACAGCTGCTGACCAAATATAGGACGTTTGCGTTTGTTGTAGGTTTCAGCATCTTTCTGACGAATTGCATCGACTACCGCAGTGTACGCGGTAGCAGAAAGTTCGACGACATTTACATCCAGCAATGCACCAAAAAGATGTCATTTCCCTCTACTTTCCTACTGTGGTTGCTCTCGTTATTTTGGATTGGCAAGTCCTTTCAATATATCCTTGACATCCGAAGACTCAAGCACATGCATGACTTCTACCATTATTTGCTCGGCATTTCCGATCCCGAAATCCAAACGATATCCTGGCAAGAAGTGGTCAGCCGCCTGATGACCTTACGAGACTCTAATCCAGCGACGGCCGGCGCTGTTTCTGCCAGAAACCGCAAGTTCATGGGGAGCCAATCCAAGCAACGAATGGATGCTCATGATATCGCAAACCGACTGATGCGGAAAGAAAATTACTTAATAGCTCTGGTCAATAAAGATATACTCGACCTCACACTTCCAGTCCCGTTCTTGCGAAACAGGCAACTATTCTCACGGACGCTAGAATGGAACATCAATCTGTGTGTCATGGACTATGTTTTCAACGAGCAGGGCCAAGTTCGAACACTGTTTCTAAAAGATACCCACCGACGAGCGTTGAGTGACGGCCTACGCCGCCGATTTATCTTTGCTGGCATCATGAACATCTTCGCGGCTCCTTTCATTGTTGTCTACTTCATGACTCATTATTTCTTTCGCTACTTTAATGAGTACAAGAAGAATCCGTCCCAGATTGGGTCGCGTCAATATACCCCGTTGGCGGAATGGAAGTTTCGGGAATTTAACGAGCTCTGGCACCTTTTCGAGCGTCGCACGAATATGTCCTACCCATTCGCCAGCCGCTATGTGGATCAGTTCCCTAAGGATAAGACTGTCCAGGTTGCTGGATTTGTTGCCTTCGTCTCTGGTGCGCTGGGATCTGTGCTGGCTCTCGCGTCCATCGTGGACCCGGAGTTGTTCTTGGGGTTTGAGATCACTCCCGATCGTACTGTCTTGTTCTACCTGGGTGTTTTTGGATCTATTTGGGCGGTCGCTCAGGGTATGGTGCCAGAGGAGACGAACGTGTTCGATCCTGAGTATGCGCTACTGGAGGTGATCAACTTCACTCACTACTTTCCGGGCCATTGGAAAGGACGATTGCATAGCGACAATGTTCGGAAGGATTTCGCCACCTTATATCAGATGAAAATCGTGATCTTTCTGGAGGAAATCATGAGCATGATCTTCACGCCTTTCATCCTGTGGTTCAGCCTGCCCAAGTGTAGCGACCGTCTCATCGATTTTTTCCGGGAGTTTACCGTTCATGTTGATGGCATGGGCTACCTGTGCTCCTTTGCTGTTTTCGATTTCAAGAAGGGCACCAACGTCATCTCCCAGGCGGACCCCGGTCGACGAGATCCCGCACGCCAGGACTTGCGAGCCGATTACTTTTCGACCAAGGACGGCAAGATGTTGGCATCTTACTATGGGTTCTTGGATAATTATGGGGCGAATCCACGTCCATCCAACAAGCGACAGTTTCATCCGCCGCCCACGTTTCCAACTCTCGGGTCACCCTCGGCCATCGAGATGGGCGCCTATGGTGAGCGGCTGGATGGAACGCTGGCAAGGCCTGGTTTGGCTGGCGGAATGATGGGCCAGCAGTCTGCTTTTGGCGCTCCCCGGTTCGGCCCTCCGGGTTTAGGCGATCACACATCACCCGCTCCGTCGATCCTCCTCGATCCGCATCACCAGCCGTCTGCGTCGGGATTCCGCACCACTCATCGTGCATCAGCGTACTCTCGCTACCGTCCAACCCGACCGTCGCGTACCATTTCCGACCCGATCGCGGATGAGGACGGGCCATCTACGCAGGCACGCAGTGTTGGAGTCAGAGCTTCACCGCATGTAGCTTCGGGGTCGAGCGGGGCAGGCATTGGAACGAGCGATAGCAACTTGGGTGAATCGTGGCGCATGAATTTGGTAGACGAGAGGGACGAGGATGGTGAGGAGCGAGAAGGCGGAGAGAATGTGGACGCACTTGCTGGGGGTGCTGGAGTCTTGGGGCTGATCCAACGCTTCCAACAAGTGAGCAAGGACAATCGGGGGCGCACGACTGTTGGGCTATAGGATCCCTCTCCTGCAGACAGTGTTAGCCCGTCACAATCTGGATTGAGCGAACTCCGGAGACTTCCGGCTCTGTGAGCCTCCCGGGTCACCTTCCAGATAGATGGCCATGAGTATAATGATAGAGATGAGAGTTCCGGCGTATACTATCCGTAGTCATCGTGTTCTGTAACGAGCGTGTTCTCCTGCAAGCCCGAAATAGAAATTTCACACTATTACGGAGTACTAGGCCCAACCTTCGGTAATCAGCCGCCATCAGAAGGAGCAAAAAGGTGGAAAGCCACTCCCCCATCTGTCTCAACCCGCCACTTTGGGTCAGGTCTTCTCTCGCGGGTGTTTCATCTTCGGGGATTTCGGTTTTGAAGGGCAAATTGAGTATCCGCCAGGGTCTTATGCTTCATCTCGACGGGGCCTTGCAAGAGTGGATATGGTCTGACGGGTCTGTCCACTGGTTTCTTGCAGAGGTCACAGGAGTTCCACTAAGCATTCGACTATGTAGTTACTACACGGTATACTGAGTTAGACATTAAGTTGACCCCTTTGTTATAGTGATCGCGTAGCTGTTATCCATGCCGCCCTTCATTAATGTTAGTTCCCCTATGCACCTCCTTAGATAGGAACGGCATTGTTAATTGGCAGTATCTGCAGCAGCTCGAGACGGGGTGAACAAGACCAAGACCAAGACCAAGAAGGCCAAGGATATTAGAGGGAGGAAGACATCGAATAACTATTTCATTAGGTGTGGGACTTTCGCTTCGGAATTTGGAGCAGGGGAGGGACGGAGGGGGAAATTGTATGTTTGTGTTATTTTTAGTAATCTTCGGGACGGGCCCCTCTTCCTAAAACCTTCCTGGTGGCTGTTCCTTTCACTACCCCCCTGGATCATGCACCCTGCGGTCAGATGATTGCTGGCAGATGGTTTGGCCACGGAGAAGCGGTCCGTTGGGCATTATCATATTGAGAACTAAGGGACTGTGGACGGAGTGGGTGAAGGGTAAAGGACAATAACGTTACTCCTGAACAGAAAAAACAGTGCGGTAGGATAACCATGGAAGACGGCAGGGGAAAGCCGTGATCGTTACGGAGTACTATGCACATGTATTGCCGGTAGTACGGAGTAGATATTTGATCAATTCCTCTGGACGCCATTGGGAAGTCTGGATCCATCGATGGCGCATTCTATTAGGTCCATCCGACTAGCTGATCCTCCTTCTTGCGAATCCGGGGTTCTTCTCGCCCTGCTCTCTGTGTCTGTGTTTGTGTCTGTCCCTCTCTCTTTCTGGCTCCCTTCTCTCCAGCCTCAGCTGGTTCTAACTTAACTTTCGTTCCATGCTGTCGAAGCCCAAACTAATATTTAGGTTGAGACAATTCCCAGTTCGACTGCATCAAGTCGGAGTATTTCCTGATCCTTGCCCTAAGAGCCGGACTGATCCGGGTTGGCATTACGAGAAGAGGGAAGTGCCTTGAAGACTTCATCCGGGATCAATCAGAGACTGCAGAATTACTATGTGCTCCGTAGTCTACGGTAGTTGGACTAGTCTAGGTCAGGAATATTTAATTAAATATTCAATAATGTTTAGATTATTCCCACGGGTTGGGAGTCTTGCGACACCCAAGTGGGTGCTTTCTCCACGGCGGTTCCACCGTGGGCTGGAGAATGCATTGAGCCAGTGCGTGACGCCAGCGAATTAACCGCCTTCCCAGTGGTCTGGCCCAGCGGTCCTTTTTTTCAGGCTGGCTCCGACCTCCGCTTTGGGATTTCACGCTTATCGCTGGGCTGTCTGTGTTTCCTTCCCGTTCCTCTCTTCTCCTACTCCTGATCGGGTTTGTTGTCCATTCTCTTTGCCTCTGTTTATGAGTACTCATAGACGACCACTTGTGATTGATTAAAACTTACTCAGAAACTACCGAACTAAACTAAACTAACTAACGGACTGCTGTTTGTAGTGGTCACTGGTCTTGGTGGTTTCCTTCAAAGTGTCTCATCTTCTCTTCCTTTCTTTTCCACCTTTCAAACTCAATACTACTACTAGTTACTACTACTAATCATGTTGGAATAGAGGCTTCACTGTCTTCCATTCTTCCACTGTTTCCCCTCAGTTCTTCCGTCAGTCGTTTCCACAAATAGATGGTTTGATGGTTTGATCATTTGATTCATTCACCAACCTCCACTCATTCCTTCTTTCCCCGGGAGTCTCTTCATGTTGACTCTTGTCTGTCGTTTGCGATTACCGCCCTACACATCATATCATATTCTTCAATCCTGTTTGTGATCCTTGGGACTAGTAATCCTTGACTAGTATTCCCATTCACCATCTTCTGCTTCACTCTTTTCTCACGCGGATTTCTACTTCCTGCAGGTCCAAGACATTTTCCCTTTCTCCCCCGGGAACCGCGTGATCTTTCTGCTCGTATTTCCCCCTCTTTCTTCTTTCTTTAGCCTCTCTGACCATCTCATTCGGGGGTTCCTACTCTTTTCAATCTTTCTCTTTTCTATTCCTTCGTTTCCGCTCACTTTTACCTTTCGTTCCTCACTTTGAGGATTCTCTCCCCCTCCCCCTCGCCCCTCCCTCGTTCCGGGGCGTGTTTGTGCTGCCTCGCACCTCCATCCCTCCCCATCGATCACCTTCCTCGATGATGTTCCGAGCCCGGCGATACCGGGTCCTCCTGGTATTCGCGGCCATCTTTGTTCTGGCTCTTATCCATTTCGCCAGTTCACGAGAACAATCCTCTGCTAGTTGGCGTGCATCGCCGCCCGCCGATCGTCGACCGGGGGCCTCAGTCCCGAACCCACCCGCCGTTCCTGAGCAAGCCGCCCCTCAATCCCCGGCCTCTCCTCCGTCCGCCCATGACTACAGCCCTGAGCAATTCTCTACCGAAGAATCCAAGAACACTTCACCTGACGTGGCCGCAGAGGGCCCTCCCTCAACCTCAACCGAATCCCCCCAGCCATCCGAGGAGCCTGCCACCGAGAAGGATGGGGACAATCGGAAAGCCACTGGACTTGGAGCTCCAGTCAAGGGTCAAGGCAAATTGGGAGTCGAAACACCTGCCGCAACATGGACACGCCCACACTGGCAGAAGCTGCCCGAACTCTTCCCGATTCGGAGCGAGGACATGATCCAGTTGCCATCGGGTCAGCCTAAGCCGATTCCGAAGCTGCAGGCGGATTTCAAAGACGAAACCTCGGCCGATAAAATGACGCGTCTCGAGCGCTTGTCGGAAATCAAGGAGGTCTTTGAGCGCGCTTGGACTGGGTACAAGACCTCCGCCATGGGACACGATGAGATTAAGCCTCTGCGGGGTGGATTCCGAGATCCGTTCAATGGCTGGGGTGCTACGCTGGTGGATTCGTTGGATACACTCTGGTTGATGGATTTGAAAGAGGAGTTCTCTATAGCAGTCGACTATGTCAAGACGATTGACTTCACTACCACCTCCAAGAGGAACGAAATTCCCCTCTTTGAAACTGTCATTCGCTACCTGGGTGGATTGATTAGTGCTTACGATGTCTCGGGTCACAAATACGATGTCCTGTTGACGAAAGCTGTGGAACTGGCCGAGATTCTGATGGGAGCCTTTGACACCCCCAACCGCATGCCTTCGCTTATGTACAAGTGGACCCCGTAAGTCAATCTCGTCCGTCCTCGGGTAATTGCATAGCCCCTAACAAGTTCGCGTTGCAGATCTCACTTGACCAGACCCCACCACGCCGATAAGAAGGCCATTCTAGCCGAACTCGGCTCGCTCTCAGTGGAATTCACGCGTCTGGCGCAGTTGACCAAAGACAACAAATACTATGATGCTGTTGCGCGCATAACCAACGAGTTGGAGAAGCTTCAAGATCAGACCCAGTATCCCGGATTGTGGCCCGTGAAGTTGGACGCCTCGGGGTGCCGCAAGAACACCAATGCCAACGCCAATGGCAATATCAATGGCAATACCAAGGAACTCACCAAAGCTCGCCTCGAGCAGGAGTATGCGCGCGACCGACTCCCTGTGACTACCACGAGTGCTCATTCCTCCAAGCCGCATCCAACCAAGCCGGCCCCGACCGACGCGAAGAGCTACCAGGACTACTTCAAACCTCGCGATGTGCGGTCTCTTCACGAAGATGCTCAGCTCGCGGAGTACCCTGGAGCTGTGGCGCAAGGTCCCGGTGGCGCAGCTCTGAGCGCTCCCGAAGCGCAGTGCACCGCGGGATTGGACACTGCTACCATTGACAAAGAGAAGTACAGCCTTGGAGCTCTTGCCGACTCTACATATGAGTATTTGCCCAAGGAGTATATGCTTTTGGGCGGTCTGAATGATCAATACCGCTCCATGTATGAGAAGGCTATGAACACAATCCGACAACATCTGGTCTTCCAGCCTATGATCAAGGGCGGCTGGGACGTCCGCTTTCTGAGCACAGCGATCATCCCCAAGAATAAGCCAGGCCCCACGGTCATGGAATACAAAGGGGATCATTTGTCGTGCTTTCTTGGTGGAATGGTTGGCGTCGGAGCCAAGCTCTTCGGCCTGGAAGGAGATATGGACTTTGCTAAGCAATTGACTGATGGCTGTGTTTGGGCGTATCAATCTACCAAGAGTGGCATCATGCCCGAAGAATTCTCCCTCGTTCCGTGCAAAAAAGGCCAGCCTTGTGAATGGGACGAGTCGACCTATCACACTGCCTTGGATCCTGACATGCTGGAGCGTTTTGCCAAGGCGCAGGAGCGGAAAGAGCAGAAGGAGAAGGAGGAGGCAGCGGCTGCAATGCAGGCCGAGGCTGAGGTAGCTGACTTGAAGAAGAAGAAGACTCTGCTCGGGAAGCGCGAGCGCGGTAACTGGCATGTCATTGGTTTGGAAGACGAGGCCACACCGAAGAAGCCGGAACCCGAGCAGCCCCCTGAAGAGGAAGAAGAGAAGGTGCTCTCGCACGAGGAGTACGTGGCGACACGCATCAGTAATGAGCGTCTTCCTCCCGGGGTGACGAAGCTCATCAATCGCAAGTATTTGCTGCGACCTGAGGCTATCGAGTCGGTATTCATCATGTACCGTCTGACCGGCGACGAGTCGTGGCGGAAGAAGGGCTGGGAGATGTTCCAGGCCGTCTCGAAGTACACCCGAACCGAGTTCGCCAACTCAGCAATCGACGATGTCACCGTCACAACTCCCGAGATGTTGGACGAAATGCAGTCATTTTGGCTCGCGGAGACGCTGAAGTATTTCTACCTTCTTTTCAGTGATCCGACCGTCGTCAGTCTTGACGACTATGTACTGTAAGTCTTTCCCCTTGTTGTGAACCCACCAAGTGCCCTGGCTAACGGAAACTGCAGGAATACCGAGGCGCATCCTTTGAGACGCCCGAACTAATAATGGCTTTGTATGCATGTGCATTTTGCGTTTGTCTTGCTTGATTCTTCTTTCTCCTCCGTTCTTGCTCTTTGATTCCCTCGATTGCTGCTTTTGCTTGTAAAAGTACAGATACCACGGTCCAGTCCACGAGTTGTTGATTGATGCATTCGCCCTCCCCATTTCTATTTTATCCCCCTTCTTTTCTTGTGGGATGGGCTCCGTTATTTCTTAGCTGGCTTTGGAAATAAGAGGTTCATATATGGTGAAGGGTGCTGATGCTGTCGCTATACTGCTGCTGCTGCTGCTGCTGCTGCTTTTGTTGTTGTTGTTGTTGTGGATGATGATGTGTTGTATAGTCGTACTATTGTACGGGATTAAGTAGATAATGGAGTGGTAGACATGTGTCTTGCTTAAGTGAGGAAAGAGGAATTGATGTAGACCCTTTGCTGTTTCTAATGGTTGTAATGAGGTCATCAGCGATAAGTTAATGAGTAGATGATCCATGATGGATCGTACAGTACCAACGATGGGGCCATGAGACGAGACGCGGGGGCAAGCGAAGCGAAGGGAGAAAAAGGACGGGAATGACGTCCCGCCCGCCCGCCTTCTCAATTGATTATTGACAGCATTCCCTCTCCGCTCCAACTCCATCTCTTCTCCAACACCTCCTCTCCTCGTCTCTACACCCACTCTCCTCTCCGCTCCTCTCCCTTCTTCTTCTCTCCTTCTATCCACTCCTCTTCCGCTCACTCGTGCTCCCTTCCCTGGCTGGAGCAGCGCCTTATCCGACTCCCTCGCTGCGGGCGCAAGACGGGATGAGTGCAGGGACACGCCACGCCCGACGAGGACGACTGAGCTGTGGGAAATGGAGTTTGAGGTCACCCTGGAGAACGAGCAGCAATTCTGGGACGGTGAGCTCTACCGTTCTGTTTCTTTTTTTGCCCGATCGTGCACAGAATATACTGCGAACCCCCAACCCCTCTACTCGCTACTTCAATTAATTAATTCGGAACTAATTTTGTTGCGCGGCGTTGTCCACAGAAATCCAAGAGATCGTTTCCGCCCCTTGCTCCTCGGAAGACCATATCGACAATGCGCTTCGATCGTATCTGAGCCTGGCTACGAAGTATAAAGGTTTCTCTCCGGCCATCGTTCCGAATGAACGGATGCAGTCCAGCTGACGCAGGACAACCGACAGATGAATACCTTCAGGGCGAGTTGGATGTTACCCGGTGCTTGTACAAGCTCCTGGCATCCAATATCTTCGCATCGCATGCGGACTATGTTCGACGGCAGATGATCTATTGTTTGTTGCAGGTACGCCGAGGAATTCCTCTACTGTCTGGGAGGGAGTGACGACGTCTGACATGGGCATAATTTTCCAGGAGGACGACCCGGCTACACTTCATCTCATTGCCTCGCTCTTGCTTTTCGACGGTCGCCAGCATGAAGAGGCCTTTCGGATGATGAACGAGGAGGGTTCGTTTCCGCGGTTGCTGGAACTGCTGCAGGTCCGCAACCGCTCGGCGGATGAGAGCATGCCGGCGGGCCTGCATCGGCTTCTCATGGACTTGATGTACGAGATGTCGCGGATACAGCGGGTGAAAATTGAGGATCTGGGTGGGTTTGCGCGGATGTTTTTATTTTTTTTTTTGTTCAGCAGGATTGTTGACCCTGTCGGTGCATGGCAGTTCTTGTGGACGATGATTTTGTTCGGGGTCTCTTCGACATCATCGAGGATCTCTCGTACGATGTCAACGACCCTTATCATTATCCAGTCATTCGCGTTCTGGTGAGTGTCGCGTCCAAGGTGGAAAGCAAATCGCTCATGATTTTTTGGCAGCTGGTTCTGAACGAGCAATTCATGATCTCGGCGCACGACCCCGTTGACGAACAATCACCCATGAATTTCCTGACCAACAAAGTCATCAAGGTCTTGTCCGTGTATGGAAATATGTACAAGACCTTTGGCGAGAACATAATCCTCCTAATCAATCGAGAAGGTACGTGGTGTTTGCTGTGGGGTGCGAACCAATGCTCTAACAGACTGCAGGCGAAACATCCCTCCAGCTCCTGACACTTAAGCTTCTATACCTTATCTTCACCACTCCGAGCACCTACGAATACTTTTACACGAACGACCTGCATGTCCTGGTAGACATTTTGATCCGAAACTTGCTGGACCTGCCGGAAGAGTCGTCCGCCCTTCGACACACCTACCTCCGTGTTCTTTATCCGTTGCTTGCTCATACGCAGCTGAGACTGCCGCCTTACTACAAACGCGACGACATCAAGCGGATGCTCAGTATCTTGGTCAATGGCCAACTCTTTCATAGCGAGGCCGACCAAGAGAGAATCATGCATTTTAACGATGCAGATGAAACAACTACGAGACTGGTTCTCCGATGCGCAGCCGTTGACTGGATCCGTGAGGAAGAGTCGGCGGAGGTTCGGAAGGTTGCCGTGCCACCCCTCAAAACCTCCGATGGCAATGACGACGAGTCGCCTGAGGGCGAGTTTGGTGCACCGCTGGAGTTGACCCAGACACTCTCCCCGACGAGCACCGTGGATAGTTCGTCGGAGAATCTGTCTCCAACCCGTGCCGATGATGAGGCTGGCACGGGTTCCGCTAAGCTGAATGCGCATCGCAAGCTCAGCCAGGCGCAGAGATTGGGGATGCACCTCGAGCCGGCCTCGTCATCGTCGCTTAGTGTGCAGGAGGTGGCATCGCAGCACGAGAAACCGGGCGTGATCACACCGAGCCGGAACAATACTCACTTGGACCGTCCTTTCAGTCCGTCGGCGAACAGGGTCAAGACCAAGCCGCTTCCGCCGAATCCTCGGCGCTGGAGAGGCCGTCCTAGGGCCGAAGACGATGAGCACGTAGACAGAATCCCGGAGGACCGGGAAATTCAGACTACGAGTCCGCTACCCCCGCCTGTCGCCGGCGGAGCGGGCGATCGGCGGAATTCCACCAGCACGTCAAGCTTAGCAGTGCCAATTCCTCGAGCCCCGCGTCGGTCCGCCTCCAACCCGCCGCCGGCGGTTCCTCCGCCGCGACGGTCGACCCATCCCGCTGTCCCCGGCATGGCCACTCTCTCGGTTTCCAGCCACTGCACACCACTCACCAGTCCCTCGCGAGTCGTTGCCCAGCTTCATAACAGTGTGAGCGCTCCGGGGAGTGGGAGCAGCTTGGTCAGTATGGTTTCCAATTCCAAACAGGGACATAAACCCGAACCTCCTCGAGCCCGTCGCTCGGGGCGGGGAAGGCTCACTCCGGGGGATTCCTCGCATCGACCGGAGTCACCTGCCGAGCATGACGGCTCGAGTCAGTTGAGCGGGGGCTATGCGTGCGATGAGCAGGAGCAAGCTGTCGAGCCGCCCACATTTTTAGGGATCAAGTCAGGTGGTCCGGTCAGTGTCGAGGAGGCGGTGCAGAACATGTCTGTGGGGGAGTGACGATCTTTTTTTTTTTTTGTTTTGTTTTTGCGAATCATCTTGCATTGGCATATCGGCGCGTTCTGAGGTTAATTTGTCTATGAGCCATTACATAGTGAGCTTTCAGCATGTTGCACTTCGCTTTGACCTTTGGGGTTTGACCTGCTCAAGTTGGTGTTGGTGATAGGATCAGCACCGACCATTTACTAGACTAGGGAGTAATAGTAACGCTCAAGCGCTGTCCTCTGCGGAACAGCAGTCTGGCCCAGAAGCAACTTAGAACATACATAGTAGGATTACTGCCCCATCTGTTTGGAAGCCGAGTTCCACTGCGTCGTCAGCGGGATCCATTTGTTTGATGAGGTTGTATGGTACGGAGTACTGTATACGGAGTACTCCACCGGGCAGTGGATGTATGTACGGTATTGGTATCTGCAGCGTAGTATGTGTATTGTACTGTATTATATTGTACTGTACTGTACCATCTCCCATTACACCTTGCACAGTGCAGGCACTTCTCTCCCCTTGAAGCACAACAGACACGGTGAGTTCCTGCAGACAGACTACTTACCACTCCCAGGACCCAGATAGAAACTTGAGATAGAAATTATGGTACAGCCAAGTTCTCATGCCTCATGCAGCCCCAAAACAGCCCGACAGAATCATAATCATACACACGCGGAGGGAACACGCAACCCTAAACACCCGGCCAGCAGCACCAGAAACAGTATCATGAAACCCAGCATGATATCATCTCCCCTTCCTTTCCCCGATTCCCCCATCCCCTCAGAATAAAGTATCAAGACCAACAGGGGGAAGTTAATGCCCCAGAATGCCCCAGAATTTCTCCGCCCCAAAGGTATACCCATTATCCACCTTCCAGAGATCATCGAACGAGGAGAAGAGCACCAGCTCTACCTCATCCTGCCCCGCATTGCCTTGCCCAGGGTTTGGGGAAGCATCCGCATCCGCATCTGCATCTGCATCACCATCACCATCAGAACCAGGGGTAGAGCCAGAAGAAGCACCAGGAGAATCCCCCGCAAACGCCTCCCTCAAACTCCGCACGGCCGCGCGCTGGTTCTCCAACGAGGGCACCGCCTTCCCATTCGGCTGGCCGGCATGCGGCCAACCGCTTTCCGTGATGACCACCTTTTTGTTGCGGTTGCCCTTGCTTCTTCTCCCTTCCGCATCGTCCCCAGTCTCCCCCGTATCCCCTTCCCCGCCCCCACCACCATCATCAGCATCAGCATCATCACCATCCTCATCCTCAAGCATCCCCCGCAACAACCCCACCTGCTCCCGCACAAACGCCCCGGCCCCCTCCGCCGTGACGGCGTCATCAAAGAACGCATGACAATTCGCCGCGCAATAATCACTAACCGCACACAGCCCCGGATTCGCCAGGAGCGCCGCCACGGTATCCACGGCGACGACGGGGCCGGCGTACCCGGCGCCGCGGAGCGTCGCGCGCGCCGCCTGCACGGCGCCCACGATCTCGGAGGCCGTGTTCCGGCCGCTGTTGAGGAGTTCGTTGCCGATCGCCACCGTGTGGATCGTGCGCCAGTCGTCGGCGGCGGCTGCGATGATGAGGGCCAGGTCGTCGGCGAAGTGGGTCAGGTCGGCGAGGCCGGCGAAGACGCGCAGGCCCAGCCCGCGGGCGGCGGCGAGGACGAGCCGCGTCTGGTCGCAGTCGGTGCCGTAGATGCGCACGAAGGCGTACCCCGCCAGCTGGGTGAGGTCGTGCGTGATCTGCGCGGCGGGTTTGCAGGTGCCTTCGGCTGTGTAGGGGGAGTAGGCGATGCCGTAGTTTTTGTCGGGGGGAGTGGATGAGGAGGAGGCGGGTGAGGGGGACTGGGGTGATGGGGGTGGGTTGGGAGCAGGAGCAGGAGCAGAATCCGAATCCGAATCCGAATCGGGGAGGGCCGAGTTGAGGCCGTGGATGACGGTGTTGCTGAGTTGGTTGGCGCTTTGGTCGAGCCAGGTGAGGGCGGAGGTGGCATCGGGGCCCAGATTGAGGGGGTTGGGGAGCCAGTTGTTGCGGTTGCTGCGTCGGGTGGGATGCGCGGGGACGGTGTTGCTGTTGAGCCCCAGCAGCAACAGTAGCAGCAGCGGCAGCAGCAGTGATGGGGCTGCGAGGTGGAAACGGCACGTCCACTGCATCCTGCTTCTGCACCTCGTTGTCAACTGGGGTCGGTGCAGTGAGGTGGCGGCCAGATGATAAAAAGGCAAAGAAGATGACTTCCAGTACATCAAGGCTGCCGGCCTTCTGAAACAGGGACCTCCCTCTCCAAGAATGAGCATTGCTCCCTATGGAATGTACAGGATCACTCCTAGAACTCCTACCTGAGCCCTTCACACTCACTGATCCCAGGAATGTCACAATGCTTCCACCCCCTGACAATCAACGCTCCCCCCCTGCCCGGTCCTGGATTGTCAAGCCAAAATGACTTACCCCTGGTTCTCCCTATACTTACATCATCTACCATGCCCGAATACCCCCGAGAAAAGAAAAAAAAGTGGTATTAAATAATATGGTCTCGTCTCTAAGAATATCCACGGTACCAATGTAGCCAAAGAAGTAGGACAAACCAAGACGATCACCACGCCGTAAATCTGATGCGAGTCGACCGTCCATTAAGACATGTGCAGGATTCACCTGGGCATCTAGGTGCAATATGCTGTACAGGCACTGTGCTTTGACAGCGATTTTATCAACAGGAACGAGAAAATGAGGCTGGGCGGAATATGATGCTGAAAGGACAGAGGGCGTATCATGGAGGCATTAAACGTCATGGCCAGGTCCCTACGACAGCCGAGCAACAGACAGAATCAACAGCAATTACTTCCGCTTGCTCAGCACTTTCGTGATCGCGTGGCGGATGATCGTGCCCGCCTTCTCGATCTCTTTTCGCGTCAAGCCGATCGTCACACATACCTTAAGGGCAGGCGCCACAACCTGCTTCGGCTCGAAGTTGTCCTGGAGAGTCTTGAGGCGGCTGATAAGGACGCCGTTGGCAAGACACTGGTAGCACCCAAAGTCAGCATCGTGGTCGGACATAAAGACATAGACAACACCTACCTCGTCCACGACATCCTGCAGCAAGAATTGTTGATCGTCCTCGGAAAGCTTCTTCGCGTGGACCACCTCGGGCTTGAGAACCAGAATCATCATGGGATTCTCAGGGGCACTGGTGCAGTACACCCAATCACTGCGAGGGTCCAGCTGCGCCCACATGGCCCTGGTGTGTTCCCGCAGCTGCGTCACCGTCTCGGGGCTATTTTGCAGCATGCTAATCGTGGCACTCGCGGTCGTCGACAACAGAGCGGGCAACGCGGCCGAGAACGTGTAGGCCGCCGCGGAGATCCGCTGGTGGTGCACAATCTCCTCCGATCCCGCGCAGAAGCCTCCACCAGCAATCAAGGGGCCGGCCAGCGAACCCACAATCATGTCGACTTCTGCCGCGTCAACGTTCTGATGCTCCGTCACACCACGACCGGTGCGTCCCAGAACACCAAACGACCAGGTCTCGTCGAGGATGAGGCGGAATTTGTACTTCAGTTTCAGCTCAATCTGCAGAAGAAAGTGTCATGTCAGTAAGCAAGAACCCCGGACAACCACGGCTCAGCCGAGAAAACACATACAACTTTAGGCAGGTCAACCATATCACCATACGACTCGAACAGACCCTCGGTGATGATGAAGCGTCGGGTGAGCGGCTTCCGCGCCTGCTCCTTGGTCACCTTGGCCAGGACCCGTTCCAAATCCTCCATGTCATTGTGCTCGTACCACCGGACAATACTGCGCGAAATCTGGATACCCTTGCGGATCGCAAAGCTGACCCCCTTGTCGGCCACGATGATGTCCCCCCGCTTCGAGAACGCCGGGATCACACTGGAGATGGTCGAGAAGGCCTGGGCGTAGATGATACAGGAAGCGGTGCCGAGGAACGAGGCGACGTCGGCCTCGGTCTTCATGTGCACGTCCTGGGTACCGTAGAAGCCTCGCGGGCCACAGGGTCCGACGCCGTAGTTGCGGAGGGTCTGGATCGCCTTCTCCTTGAGAGACTCGTTCGTGTTGAAGTTGTAGAAATTGTAAGAGCCCAGGTTCATGACCGTCCGGCCGTTGGCGAGCTTGGATTTCGGGCCGACGGGGCTGGAGAGGGCCCGCGCGCGGTTCGCGTCAGCAATAAGGCCAGTGAACCAACCCATTGAGGTCGGAAAGTCAAGGAAAGAGATCTTACCCGACGATGACAGTACGCTTGTCCACTTCCATGGCCTCCAGGGGAGTCGGCTTTCCGACCAGCGGCTCCGGAGTCCATTCGTCGACCAAATCATCGATCTCATCTTCCGAGAGTTGGACCACACCGGGCTTGGTAGAATACTTCGGCGCAAGGAGGTAGCGAACGGCGAACAGAAACAAGAAAAGCTCCACGGCCGAGCGGATCGGGTCGTTCTGGTAGCTGGACTTCACATAGCGGAGAAAGATCGCAGAGCCGGGGACCCGGTGGAACAAGGCAGCGAGCTCATGGAGATACTCCGTGAGAAGCCGCTGTGTCTCCTGGATATCCATGGTCTCGAGATTGGCGAGGCGCTCGTGGCGCTGAACGAAGACGCTGTCGGTGGGGGAAATCCCGGAACTGAAAGAAATGCGACAACAGCAATCTAAAGTCGAACGGATGGCATTGGAATCAGTAGTGTGAGATCTGTAAAGAAGGAGGAGCTTTTGTCAGAAAGTCGAATCGACGCGGCACTTCCCAACTTCCGGGCAACGCAGGCCGCTTGCACGTGACTTCGTTTGCTCCTTGCAGGCAGCCACCTGTACTGAGCAGTCATGTGACATCGTTTCTGGACTCTCACTAAATCCAGACTCCATGCAATGCTACTTGGAAGCCCCTATCTCAAAGGACCAGTGAAATCAGCAACTTTAGCACATGTTCTACAACATACAAATTTTACCCTATTCCTTGTCAGCTGGCATCTACAACTCACACGAGATTTACATGACCTACGAGAAAAAGTCCAAGAATACCAAAGATTAAATGAATGCTGGACAACAAAATGAAACTGGCAAGTCTAATGGAACATACATAAAGGACTGGGAAACACCTCGAGAATACAGAATTCAATTGACAGATATTGGATCCATTAATGTTGACGGCAGAAAGGAGCATGGGCGAAGAGTGTCATTCAAGAAGCAATGAGAATAAAACAAAGGCAAATGTATGCGACTCGGCAGCGTCCTCAAGGCGCTGAATACTTTATACAGCTCGTTTCCATGTTCCATTTTCGCAAAAAAAAAAATGAGAGAAGGTAGAGAAGAAGATAAGATGAGAATCAACGTGCCAGCTAGCTCGACGTGGCGGTGGCAGCCGGGTTGGTAGGAGTCCAGCCGGAGAACCCGACGGGGAGACCTCTACCAGTGTAACTGGCAATCGTGTCGTTGTTGTCCTTGTCGAGGGGCTGCATGATGTTCATGGGGAGACTCGAACCCAAGCTGATGTTCTGGTTGCGAGCCACGAGAGGGGCGATGAGAAGGATGAGGAAGATAACCAGCATCGTGAAGTACAAGATGGCGAAACGAACGACTCTCCGCTTGCGAAGCTTGGACTGCTTCAGCGAATAGATGGGAGGACGAATCTGCCGACTCGGGCGCAGCCAGAAGAGAATGACCGAGTGGAACTTGTCAACGTAAGGCATGCAAAGAGCAGGCAACATAACAAACAGGAGAATGTGACCCAAGACGAAGTCGGCGGAGAAGTAACCCAATTCCGTGATCTTACACAGGAACTCACGACCAGGCTGGGAAAGAGTGTGCCAGCCCATGCTGTACCACTTACCCGTCCACCAGGCGATGTTGGACTGGTCGTTCTTGAATTCTCTGGTGAGAGCCAGCGAGATAATGAGCTTGTAGATGAACCGTTGGATAGCGGCCATAGCAATCATGCCCATCACGCATCTAGGCCATGACCAGGACTCGAGGAAGAACATGACCTCAAAGATAGCCAAAAGGACAATCACGGCAATTGCGTGAGCAATGGCAGCCAAGACAGCACCGAACTTCTTGCAGCACATGCTAAAGATGGGACCCATACAACAAGCCATACCGAAGAACATACCCGCAACACCGGCGTTGATGGCAATCGGGCCGAAGGCAACGATGGCGATACGGACAATGGCGTTTGAGGCATGGTTGTTGTCGTTCGAGATACCGGTTCTCGAGTTAATGTACAGGTATGGCACAAGGGTAACACCAACGACCACCAGAGGGGCGATGATTTCACTGAAGAAGATGTTCGAGATGCGAGCTCTGGGAACGTCACCGGATCCTTTCTCCGAAGGAACACCCAGAAGCTTGCGCTTGTAACCAGTAATGCGGGTACGAGACAAGCGACAGAAGGCGATCCAAGAAGAAGCGTGCGAGCGAGAATTACCACGAGACAACCAGCGGATGTAATCGCGGTAGTCGATGAAGAAATCATGCCAAGCGAACTGGTGAGGGTTGAACAAGAAGGGAGCGATGACCAGGGCCAACAGTGAAACCCAGAACCAGATCAGAGCCGCAGTCCAGACTGTGGAGGTCGCGAACAGCAGCATCAGAAGCTGACGAGATCCAGCGTAGATGGAGGGGCCAGCAAAACGCGAGTAGAGAACACCGAAGGGAATACGAGCCGTTGCGAAACCACGGCCAGTACCGATATAACGAGCGCCACCGAAAGACAAGTTTTGGTGGACAGCATTGGCATAGATCTGACAGACGAACACCTCGAACATGAAAGAGAAGGAACCAAAGTGTTTCGCAAGACGAGTCGCCATGCGCCACACACCTCTCTCGGTCAATTCTTGGACAGCCAGGGGAA